TCATGTGCAGATGATATGTTTGAGCCCTAAAAACTTGTAAATAAAATTATAATTATTGAAAATATGTTTAAAAAATGCACATTTTAATATACAGAAAAGTGTAATAATTTTACTTTAAAATAGTGTTTTCATATTTTCACTGAAAGTAATGAATACAGCAAAACACACATATCCCACCCCCTAGGTACATAAAAAAGTAATCAAGTAAAATATAATGATGGTGGTGTTGAGATATGTACCATAAAAAGTTAAATGATAAATATTCATTAATATTTGCATTACAGGAACAAATGATGACTGGAAACTATACCATATCTTAAAACTCTACGAGAATTAGCTTAAATTTTAAATAGTATCTTGGCAAAAAAAAAAAAAAAAAAAAAAAAAAAAACTGTGAGTTCCAGATTATTTTTTTCTTCTATACTGTTAGACAACGTGATTATCAATGATACTCAAAGAAATTTACCACCTCTTCGAGGTGTTAATAAAATGAAACTAAAATAATGTAAAAATCTTCTAACAAAATCTATAATAATAAAGAAAATGTTATAATAAAATTAAAAAAATAAAACATAAGTAAATTTATAAAGGAAAAACAAGTAATAGCTCGATGATGTGTTAGTGGTTTTCATTTAACGGTAAAATTCTGTTGGCTAGAAATGAAGACCATAAACATGAAAGCCCTGTTTCTGCAATCGAGACGCATGAAGTTCTTCTAGAAAGAGCATTATAACAAAACTAATGCATTTGGTTTTTTCTTTGTTCTATTATTTATCCAAATTGAAATTTTACAGATTTAATAACATAACAAGGCATTTTTGACTGTAAATGGGCACAAAAAGGCGACAATTATAATACTTTCTGCTTACGCTGTTAAAACCTTGATGATCAGAGAGGTTTTGTTTGAAATTTAGTCCTAATCCTGGCTCGTTTTGTAACATAAAAGAAGAGTTTTTGTTTGTTTTCTTTAAGTAGTTCACAGCAGGCTCAGGTTATCTATCTAAGGTGAGAGATGTCTTCGAAGAAAGACTTTCTAAGGAAAACTTCTTCGTATCTACATCACACGGGAAAACTACGAAAACGCGCATGCAGCCAGCACCATTCGTGGCAATTCGAATTATCAGTGTGTAGTGATTTAACTGCTCAGCCGCTGGTGACCCCGTAACAAAAACATTTAATTTATAGTACATAGTCTGATAATTATTTTATACTGTATTTACTTAAACACGTTTTATGTAAACGCAACTTATAAAATTTATATAATAACCTGCTACGTATCTTACTTTTGTGTCCAGTTATAATGTCTTGCTGTATAATTTGATTTTCCCATATGAAAGATCAAGATATGCATCAAGAAGATGTTATTTACATCATATTTTAATCTTACACAATCATATGAAACCTCTCTCATTTCCTTCCTGCTGTGAATATATCTGAACAACTCAACATTGTCAGCAACCAGTAAAAAATAAACAAATAAATAACATAGTTTTAAAATACTTTTAACCTATTCATAATATACTATATAAACAGACTGATATTTCTCTTACCAACTCTAAATATGTATACACAGCTAAAAGTTTTATGGGCTTCTTTACTGAGCTTAAGCTCCTCGCAGTTCTATTTCCTTCTCATGTGAACAAGAGAAGTGAGCACAAGGGGGGGGGCACTTGAAAGAACGCACTGCTCAGAACCTCTGACTTTTTTATTCGGAGTCTGTTTGTAATTGATGCTCTCCAGGTTGTTATTTCTATGAAAGGAAAATTAAACATTTGGAGAAAATGTGATTCTCTCTTTTTGAATATGATCTTTAAAGGCTACGATAGCGGAATAAAATGGACCAAAATGGACTATGGAATTTTCAGCGAAATAAAACTTTGGAGGCATTTTCATTTTGTAGGCCGCTTATACTCTAAATTTAGTAATAAATGATGCAATGTAAGTCAATGGCAATGCTATCATTCTCTGTCTCATAAAACTCTATGCATTTTTTGAGGACTACATCCGATTTAGCACTGCAGAAGCCACTTCGTAAGGAAGTAAAATCGGAGCAGTTTTATCTGTACTATATCAACTAGCAGAAATTTAAGTCTCATTTTATGAAATTATGAATTTGTACGGCTTCAACTGAAAATTGTAATAAAATAAAAAAAAATTTAGAACGAATTTTAGCCAGCAAACATCTACATCCTAAAGCACGGATATTAAAATTGTTTTAAAATCCACTCAAAGACTAAAAGTATTTTATCAGAACACATGATGGATTCAAAGCCTCAAAATATGTTTGAAACTCATTAATATACATACTATAGTTATAAAGTCACAGAGGAAGAACCAGAGTTGAACTCTGTCGTTTAAATCAAAGTAGGCAAGGTATCAGTTTTTATGCGAATATATATATCACTGAAAATAAAATTAAAATTGTCATATTTTGTATGCTTTTGAATAATGTATACGCTTCATTACCAGGACGCTTTCAATAACTAAAAATTTACAGTGATAATTCTCGTTTCTAATGTAATGTTTGTTTCAGGGGTGGAGAATGTAAAGAATTTTTGCCTTCTTTACCACTTGCCTTCCTGTTGTAATTAGGAGAATATCGGTAGGAAATCGGAAAGTCCGGATTTCAATTTCCGGTGAAACCACTGCTGAGTTTTCATATTTCCTGCTTCGAAAAACCAAATAGACTCACGTTTAAAGAAAGTAAGAAAGGCAATGGGGAGATAAGTGATCAGAATGTGTTTCAATGCAGTATGCACTTTATATAGGGATTTCACCGAGTTTAATTTCAGCTTTTTTCCCTTACTTGTAATAATTTATACTATAGGGTATTTCTCCCGCCTTCCTAGCGTGCCTTTGTGGTGTAGTGGTTCTGTACGCTGGGCCGGTATTCCAGAGGTTCGTGGTTCGATTCCCGGCGAAGGCGGTTTCTAATTTTCAATCTTTCTTGCTTCCAAAAAATCTTAATATCTGTACAGTGGCGCCCGAATTAAAAGGGTGTTGGATGATGATTCTCCTCACCCAGGATTTGGCGACTGTGTCCCCTAAAAACCCCAATCGCCCTTTAAAAGGAGGAGTATATAAGGTATTTCTCCTGCCTTCCTAGCGTGCCTTCATGGTGTAGTGGTTCTGCACTCTGGGCCGGTATTCCAGAGGCCCGTGGTTCGATTCCCGGGGAGAAGCCGGTTGCTTATTTTGCATCTTGCCTGCTTTAAAAAAAAAAAAAAAAACTAATGTCTCTACAATACATAGCCTATGAAGTTATCGAAAATCAAAATAAGTAATATTTTACGACACTTATGTTTAAAAGAATGAAAGAAGCTTTTCTGATTAATTAAAATAATAAATAAAATAAGTAATATTACGCAAAAATTATGTTTAAAAGCAGGAAATGAGAATAAGTTTTTCTGATTTACCAGAAGTTAAGAGGATAACAATCTCTCAAATGCTGGTAAATCCGTAACAGAAATTATTAATAATAAATGGAAGATTTGTTTTCATGGTGAATGCAACTCTAAAAATAAAAATCGAAGCAATATTTTTCGGAAAATGCCAAAGCAAGTTTTCACGATTTCTCTTGAAAATACAAATCTTTATTTAAAGCTCTAGCCGTGATCTATTTTAATTCCTCTAATATGGTTCTATACCAATGAATAATGTTTTTATGATAAACTGAAACATAATATGTCCTAATTATTTTTTTCTAAAGCTTGATGATTTAATTTTTTAACTAATAGTCTTTAAGCAAAAACCAGTTTATTAGAAAAACCGTAAATAATAAAATACATTTTCATATGCTAAAAATCAATTTCTTTTACTTAGTTAAAACACTAAAGATTAACTAAATTAATCAAAAAAATTGTCTCAAAAGATTACGAAAATATATTCTCGTGGAACCATCTTGACTTAAAACTGAAGAGCATTCCTGTTTCAGTTATTTAAATAAAGGTATGACGAAGTAAATTTTTGATTAACAATGGATTAATTCAGAGTACAGTAAAAATATTACTTAGTGGCTTTATGGCTTTATACAAGCAAGATTATTAATGGAATTTATGACATTTTATGTCAACATATTTTAAGCGTATAGTAAACTAAGAAAGTCAAATATTTCACATTAGTCAGAAAAAAGAATTGTTAATAAATTTTACATGAGTATAATTTTTTATGTCTTTAAGCAAGTCTTTTAGTTTATATTCTACTTAGGTTATTCAAACAGTTTCACGTAGTGATATAATTTCTTGAGGCTTTTCACTTTCACGAAAGTAAGCTAACTCTTATTAATACTGATCCTAAATTTTTTAGGGTATTACATAGCTTATTTCATAAATTATTGCCTTTTTTAACAAATGAACATGTCTAAACGCATACTTAATGCTAAAACGATTGATAATAAGCCACGGTAATCAAGTTAAAGTCAGTTATTTGTTCAATAGCTGGTGCTACATATCTGTTTATATTTAGAACTACGTAACCAGAATACAAATAGAGACTACTTGTTCCCAAGGAAAAGAAATACACATCAGATAATATTTAAAAATGAGTAGAACCCCTTCTTTTGAAATGAAGGCCAATTTAGGTTAAATTTTTACCATTTTAAAATTTCAAGTTGGAGCGTACCTTTTAAATTTATCAATTTTTCTTTTACTCCAGCAAGTTAGCTTCATTTGGAAAAAAGTAGAATTTGTTCTGTTAGAGAATAATAATTACTATTATCAAAGGAAGTAGAATTAATGTACTAGTTTACTAATGATTTCATTTAATTATCAAACAGATCAAGGGAATTAGCCTACGAGTCTTTGATTATGTTTACATTACTTTGAGATTCAGAAATTGTTCTCTTCGTATTATTTTCTTTTCATTCTATTTTGTATTGTGCACTGGTGTGGTATTTATTGCTCTTGGATTTATTCTAGGTTATTTTTCCTTTTGGGATGTGAAACTGGGAAAAACAAAGCTGTATTTCTTTCTTTCACTTCTCTTATGCATTATAGACTTACCTACTGTTTGTGCTGCCAAGGTCATATCATGATCAACCATTTGGCCCCAGAACACTAAAAGGATATTGATATGCGAATGATGTTCACTCACATCGTGATGCATCATGAAACTGACAATACGAGCGCTTGGGAGGTCACTGCCGTCGACTGATTTTCGTGGCTCAGATATTGCTGGAAGGATTCAAAAGAATTCACACAGTCAGGCCTAATGAATGAAATCGACTCTAAGAAGAGTATTACATTAAAATAAAAACTGAATTACATCTTTTTAATACAACGCATAATTATAAGTAGCGAAGAAGTAGAATTCTTTTTTAGTAAAAATAGATAAAATAATCAATACATTATTCATGCTTTCTGCATTCGAATAATTCTATTTAAATATTTTGCAAGATAGCAATTTTTATTGATGATAATTCTTACCATCAGCGTATTCCGGAGGTAAGTACCTGACCATAGCAGATCGGGCACTTCCCCAAGAGGGATGTTCCAGGTTGTTGCACATGCCAGTCAGCGTTCTGTACCGCGACAACTCACACTTGACGGGTTTCAGGAATGTAGGACATATTTCTTTGATGGCCGTTTTACTGGTATCGATGCGTGGCAGGGCATGTATGATGGTATCTCGTGAAAGTGAGAATCTAATGAGATAACAAAGAACTAGTTGAGATTCCTTACATTAGCTGTGCTACAAGTGAAGAAGTTTCTAAGAATGAACAATGTTAATAACCTCAAAACAAGACGTTTCCTAACATTTACTGCGCACGGCAAAAATTTGAATTACGGAGTTAAAACAAATGAGTTATTTAAGATAAATTTATACGTTTAATACTTATTTCAGTAAATTGCTGTTGATGACATAGAAGTAAATTATATAAAAACGCATTTCTAAATTGCTTTCCTGTAAATATTTCCTTGCATTAATTTTAAGAGTAGTTTTTAACACTCAAATGTTTTTTATTATACGAATAAGTTTCTGAAAGAAGCTGCATATAAAAGTAGAATTCATAATATCATCTTCCGTTTAAGTGTAATGCATTAAAATATGACTGTGATGTGTGTGGAATAAGAATGTTATTTTGAAGCTCATTATATCCATGTTTGAATTAAAAATGGATTTTAAATTATCATTCATCTGTTTATTAATCTCATAATTCTAGATTAAATTATTAAAAAAATAAGAATCTGCTGTGCATTAAATCTGTATTTTGCATGCATAAAATTAATTTAATTCATATACTGTAATACGAGAAATTGAATCTGATAAATTAAAGCAATTCATATTTTGTTTCTTACCGTTGAGAAAGTATTCTAGTTGTTTCTTGAATGATTTCAGCTGATACTGCTATATGTTCATACTCTGGATAAACTGAAGATAATTCATAGATTTCCTTTGGCACTTCACCTGTTGATTTAGATTGAACTGTTATTCTCAATTAAGTAATGTTTCGGAAAAAAAGTTTAATTAATAGAAACAAGACAGCTTTGAAACGAGTTATGGTTCAAAAGTAAAAAGAATGAAAACTGTTTAAAGAGAAGCAGAATATGTCATTAAAATTGTTAATTATAGTTTGATGCATGCTAATCAAACTGGAAGAAGCTATATTTAAAATCTATGCCAAACTAATAATGTTGATAGAAATGAAATTTAAGGCATAATAGTCTTTCCTTTTCCCGGTCTTTTGTTTAGTCTTTACTAGTCATTATTACTAATGACACCCTGACTAAACTCATAAATGCATTTCTTCTTTAATATACCTCTTCCTCTTAAAGAAAAAGGAAGGGAAAGATTGTAAAGACAATTTTCTTGAAAATGTAACTTCTTTCTTACGACTTTCTATAATTATTGTAAGTTTATTACTTGATATAATTTACCAAGCAAAATAATTGTATATATTTATTGATTGATTAATTACATAAAGTAGGAAGCTTTTTTTGGACATGAAAAATTTAACTGAATGATTAGAATAAAAAACGAGAAAAATAGTCCCTAAAACTGTCACTGAAATCTAATAGTAATATATCAGATAAGTATAAATACCTATTTTTACATAATATTATCTAATAGTAAGAGTTTTAAATTTTGTTAAAAGGGAATTACCAATATTTGATGCTTAAACGCTTATTATGAACGTTTCGCAGTGTTTCTGGAAATTAATTAATGAAAGTTGTGTTCCTAAGTTTAATATCTAGAGCGTTTCCATTGTCTCAATATTAATAGGGAACTCCTAGCTATCTTCTTTTTCAGGAAGTTTCCTTCCATATAATCCGAAAATACGTGGACGCTTCTGTCACCAGGAGCTGTTACTTTATTTTTTACTTTCCAATTTCCATTCAAGCTTCAGATTACTCAGAATTCACTTTAATTAGAGACATTGCTATTTTTTCCTTCACCTTCTTGGCTTTCATCATTTTTTTTTAATGCCAGGCTCTTGCCGTTTATAGGCGTTGTCCACAACTAATTTTGGAGTCGGTGGTCTCTTTATTATGGAGGTACTTAATGAAAGGATGGGCAAATACATCCATACCTTCTCTGGGATTCGAACCCGGGCCTTTCGGTAGGGCAGTCAGAGTCACTAACCCCTTCCCCGTGTGGGTGGCTCATCATTTATTAAAAGACGTGTAAAACAGTTTTTTTGTTGTTTTCTCTGAGATACTATTGCAATAACATGCTCAGGAGATGCAGCTCATCTGAAAATTTAGTTTCATTCATTCTAAGTTATTTGCTTTTACATCTATACCTTCTACATTATGAAGAATTCTAGACCATATCTCATAGAGATAATATCCATTCATCGCTCTAATAATTCATTGATTGCACAGTTGAATTACGGACGTCGTGTTTGATGGAAGAACTATAACGTCAATTAGCCTTAGGGATATATTAAAGTTATGCACTAAGCAATATTCAGCCAGAAGAATGACATTTTTGTTTTAGTTTGTTACTCCATTCAAATGCACTCATTAAAATCTGTGACGTTATCCATACCATAGCTCGAAGCATTTTAAAAGGTAGAATTTAATTATTCAATTCATTACATTATTTCGGCGTTTATATGTTTTTTAAAACATTCAGAAAAAAATTGGATCTTGTTAAATTTAGCATAGGGCTGATGTAAACCAAACCGCGACTCGTATATGGTTTTCAATGTTTTGGGAATAATATTCATTCAAAAATATTTCTGATTATAATAAACCGTGAAATCTTAATGATTTTGTGTACAAACAAGTAGGACATTAGAAAAAGTAATAACAATATCCAAACAGGGCAATATCATTAAGCGATGACTATAGTATAAAAAAATGAACAAAGGCCGGAGAAAAACAAAAAGTTAAAAATCTATTACCATAAAATCTATTACCCATATAAACTATATTTAATAATTTTTATCTAGTGTTCATTATTAACCAACAAGTTAATGAAGAAGGTTCCCCATATCTCTTTCATTTAAGCATGATCTGTTTAGATAAAATATCTTTCTCATTAAATCTCGCTTCCTAAAACAATATGCAAGATTTATGGAACTGGACTATATTAAAATGACAAAAATGAATGCATTTGAAGTATAGAATCAGGACCATTACTTGGATTTATATTATTAGCAAAGTAAATTAGCCTGAGGAAAGGGATGCATTTGTGCACGAAAACATCCATGTAATAAACCTACATGGTCTTATAATGACCGAGAAAATAAGAAGAGGGGCAACTTGGAATCAGCCTTTGCCTTGATCCTCGATATTTAAACCATCTAAATACACTAGAACACTCCATGCTTTTCTTATATATAACACGTACATGAGCAATTCCCTTTAAAAACTGTTTTACGAAACTATCCTTTCCAGCAATAAAACATTCGAGAGGTTTCCTGCTATAATACACCTACATACCATTTGGATAAGCTTTTAATTCACAATTTCTTGCTGTAACTTCTATGTAAATTAAGAAACGTTTTTGCAGCTGAATCAGAAATGAAAATTATTATTCAGATACCTCTGGAATGGAAACCTATTTCTTACGAGGATACCAATTTAAAATTATTTCTTTTGGCTAATATAAATAGTAAGGATTGTTAGTAGTCTAGTTTAAGTTTTCATAGGTAATTAAAGAAATAATAACTCTAGAAAGGTATTTTCCCTCTCCTTCCAGCATGCCTTCGTGGTGTAACGGTAGCATACTCGGCGCGAATTTGAGAGGTCCATATTCGAGTTCTGGCGATGACATTGCTCATTTTTCATGTCTGCTGCTTCAAAATAAACTAATGACTCTACAACTTATTCTAAACTCATTACAACATCAAAAATCAATAATCAGTTCTTTTCTTATTCTATATAAAATCATCTGGAATAATTTATTCTTCCTGTGACTGAAAAGTTTTTAAAATTTCAATTTGATTGCTTTCATCATGACAGTTGCAATTTACTTCCACTGGATTTTAAGACTCGAAATCTTCAAACTGATCTCTTCGGTTTTCAGAAGTTTCCATTACTATTTGTTTATCAAAATTCTTCAAGGTGCCGGTGAAGTATTTTTAATATAGCCCTTTCTTTGATCTACAGTCTTGATACAATCTTGATACCTTTTCTGATACAATCTAAGGTCAATCTAAATACACAGTTAAAAATAATTTATAAAATTTTAATTTTGCCTAATTTTAAACAAATTTAACCACAGTTAAAATTCTTAAACTAGCATTTATTCTGCGACATAAATAGTACAATAGACAGAAGGCATAAATAATATGCCAGACAGAAGCTTCATAGGCACTTTAAATAAAAACTATTGTGGGAACTGTAACTGTAACTAAGATTATGTAAAAGCGCCATCTAGATTAGGGTGTGGTCAGATCAGATGAGACGTGAACGATACTCAGGACGGACGTGTCCAAAATGTTTTGACGATTATTCATTTTTCTTTTCTTTTTATTCTAATGTAAATAAATAAATCCTAGTTTAACTTCATGAGTTGTAGTTATGCTTATCATCAATCCTTCCCCATATTTTGGTGTCAGAAGTAACGACAGGCGTAATCTTGCGCTCCTTGACATGAAGATTTTCGTAGGCTTGGGCTGATGTTACTGTCACACAAGTTAGCATAAGTAACAACAATAATAACTACTATTTAACTCTTAGTGGTAAATGCTAAATTAAGCATTTTATTTTGGAACAAGAGACGTGAAAAATGCGCAGGGCCATCGCCGGGATCCGAACTTCGAACTTTTGAACTGTTAGGCGGATGTGTTTTCCATTTACACGACGAAAGCACGGGGTATAAAAGGAGAAAATACTTTTCATTCACCTACACTTCAAGGGTGACTGGGAAGATGGGGACGCATTCGCCAAATTGATGACGAAGTATCGTCCACCGCATTTTAGCTCAGATACCAGTTTAGAATCTTTTAAAATAGGAAACATGAGAAAAGTCAGGGATACCCTAGCCGGGATTCAACCCTAAATCTTCCGATTGCCAACCAGGCTGCTTCTAATTACACCACGGCGACACGCGATGTGGAGAGAGAAATTACATTACAAAACCTCCTTTTGGACTTATAAGCCCTTCATCAAGAACATTTATGTACAAGTAAATGATATTGACAAACTTTTTTTAATTTCATTAATTCTTTAATTTTAATTCATAATTAAAATGATATTAGGAAAGTCTCGATAATTAAGCGCATTTACTAGCATTTTTTCAAGAAAAATTCTTTTGTTTTGGGGGGGGAGTGCTTTTACTTATCACAAACTTTACTTCAAAGAACACGAGCCTTAATTACTCCCAATACACTCTTTATACGAGATTTATTTACGCATAATTTTAAGATAGTATCAAATTAAGATAATTTTTAAAATAATATCAATATGCATTTTTTGAAATTGAAATTTGACAATGATACTTTCTCAGTGTTCGAAAACAATAATTGTTTCAACAATTGAAACAACAATAATTCCATACCATTTAGTTGAAACAATTATTGTTTCAACTAAATGGTATGGAATTTGTAAAATTAGAAATAGAGGGGTTAGACGATTTTGGCAAATGATAAAAGCTTATTTCACACTTATGTGTATGTTATAGCAATCGCTCTCGGTGCTCTGTGAAGTTCAATAGCTTAATGTGTTCTTTATTTATCATAATTAAATTAGACGAAGATTTCCCATGCAAAGTAAAGAGAATTTTGTCAATTTGATATTTTGATTCCAGACTACGTGCTTATTTCATTTTATTACCGAAATGTTCTTCGATATATCAATTATTACTGATATATCAATTATTACTAAATAGTTTATTAACTTTTCGGAATTTCTGTTAAATGAAGCGATAGCAAGAATAATTTATTTTAATTAGAGGAAGACAGGGCTGAGTGGGATAGAAGTATAAATGCATCGGAGTGCCTCCTTATTTTTTAATAGTAAGGGGTTGAATACTAGCGGAAAAACCTGGAAATATTATGTTTTATTTATATACACAAGTGACTGCAGTTTTGACTACCTGCACTGCACATTCGGAATGCAAGTTTTTGATCAATCTGTTATAATATTTGATTATTTTAAACTTAAGACAACATCACTTTTTGTAGCTTCAGTAAAATTTTAACTTGAACGCTGTCCTGGGAAAGAATGCAGTGAAGCAGCATAGAGTACCACGCTTCCTGCTCTATAATGAGCATTTTGGGAAAAAAATCATTAAATACGTTTCTAAATTAAATACGTTTCTAAATGTTTTTTTGTTTCAGATTGTTCGATGTCGCATTAGAAAAACAAATAAGATTGAAACCATGAATATCTTTGCATTAGCAGTTACCACTGGTCAGGTGGAATATTTGAATGATTGAAATCAGTTAATATGCTCCAATCAGGCTTCTCAGTACAAAATAAATAAAACAGAAGAGGAATATAAAAATATATTCATTAGATCCCCATACCCCTTTTTGCCTCATACTTTCATAATGACGTAAACAACATGACATTTTCAAAAGTAAATGTTAATCATACTTTGGTAATATTTTCATTTCTCTTACCATTGCAAATACAAAAATGAAAACAAATAAATAATCTTGATACGCCGTTTAATCTCGTCTTCCTACATGACTGAAAATACAACGGAACTGCATATTAGTATACTATTTTGAATTTTAATCTAGATACGTCGTTTAATCCCGTCTTCCTACATGACTAAAAATACAACGGAACTGCATATTAGTATACTATTTTGATTTTAAAATGGTATCTCCACTTCCTTCTTATTATTTTTCCAAGTTTTTTTTAGGGTTTCGTGAGTAGCAAATAAATGAAAATTTTCACACGGAGTAAGATTTCATCATTTTCTATAATCTCATAGTTCTTATATAAAGTGATAGCGTGATAAGATAAAATATTCTAACTTAGCAATTTTACCTTCCTACTTTATTTACTTTTCTTAAATATATTATGAACGACATTTAACTTACCTATTTTACTTTTAGCCTCGTAAGTTGCTTGGTTTATGTCTTCATACGTGATGCAAATGTCTCCATAATCTCCTACTGTCGATGATTTCAAGCTGAAAGTAAATATCAGTTTTAATTCATATGTTACAGAAAATTCAAACACTAATAATAAAATAGTTGCTTCAGATACACAAAAACTGCTAATTTAGGCACTACCGATGTAGAATAAAATAACTTTTTTTAGTCTAGAAACACTTCTAGATGTTAATGTATCTTACCTACTCTGAATTATTCTTCCCAGCTTTCATAGAACTTTTTGCTTTATTTCCGATTAATAACGAAACCTCCAGACACAGCTTGTAAATTTCTGTTTATACAAGTTGGGCCTACATACATTTATATTCTTAATGTCTTTTTCTCAAGTACATGTTTTTCAATGTGTCTTGTTAAACAAGAAGGGAGGGATTTTTATGTGGTAAAAATATATGCATTTTTTGGAAGTTAATAATCTATAAAGCATAGATCGCAAATGTAATAAAATGTGATCGTTTTGGATAACCTAAATTTTCGTTAAAACCGTGATTGATTTTAGTCACAATTACCTTTTTTCCCCTTGTTAATATGCATTTTAAAAGAATTCATATTAAAACTTGAGACTTAAGGGCATAAGAATATAAAAATGTACTTCAAAATTCAAGTATATAAATTCTAGTTCAATCATTTTCACTGATTATCTTAATAAAGCTGCTTATGGAAGCTACCATTTTTACTTACCATTTTGTACTAAGTCTCTTAAGTCAACGTCTTTTCATAATGTGTGGGAAATAATAGTTGTTCAGTAAATTTAAAAAGGGCAGTTACTACTGAATTTCTTCAAGCTAAAACAACATGCAACAGCTGTGCTTAGTAATTCCTTAAAATTAAGTAACAAACCTTTTGAACTACCAGAAAGCCTATAAAATGTTTTTTAAAATAAATAATGTTCCCTGATTAATAAATAATATTTCCCAGAATTTTCATTTTTTGAGCAAATGAACGCTTTGAACAAATTAATAAGCTAAATGGGTGTTAAATTTTTCACCCAGTTAAATACTATATTGGGCAAATAGTTTGTAAATTTCATACACTCAGACGTTTTATGTCGAAATTTTCAGACCACAAGCAAAGAGAAAAATTCATTAGTAGTATTTCTAAAGTCTAAAATTTTATTCCACTATTAGAAGGATATTCTTTTCATAGATTAATGAAGATTTGCAAATAAAGTATTATGTACTTTAAGCCACTGGCAACAAAATTTGGACATATCTCATTCCCATAATAAATAATACCTTACATAATTTAATAAATATTTCTTGTACAGTTAATGAAAATTTGAGACAACATAATTTTCAAATTATCATAGTTTCCAAAGTTGTGCTGCGTCCTCACCTCTTTCCTCGAGGGTATGCGATTATCATGTTTCTCATTTCAGCATTCGTAAAAATGAGAGCAGTGGCGCGTAGGCCAGCAAACCCTCCTTTCTTCCCTCGTCTAAACTTGTCCTACATCAGGCTATTTGCGTAGAATTCTGTGAACTAGATAATTAAATAGTCGGAAGAAAAGAGTTTAGATCACGTAGCCGAAAGTAGCTGAAAGAGATTAGGTTATTTGACTACGGTAAAGCATACGAGGGCTACCTGCTTTAAGAGGAGGGATACCTTCATGGAAGACTTACTAATAGAAATTGGCTCGTATTTACGTTACACGTGGAGGAAACAGCGCAAACCAGCCATGAAGCCAGCCCGTTTACCTGGGTCCACTTATAAATGATTAGCGGCCACTGGTAGGACGTAGCTGAAAGATATCTTAGGCGAAAGCTTTTCAGATTTTTGATCAAAAAATTATTTTGTAGTTCTGTAAATTTTTATTCATAAAACATGAATCAGATGCATAAATATATTTTGTGTCTTTATCTGTGTGCGGTACAGTCTGTGCAATCAGCATGAGTCTTTTCTGCTTTTGTGTACTATTTTTATTTCTAATCTAAAGATCTTCACATGCTGTGCTTAAATGGAACGTGTATCATTATCAGCGAGTGTTGAGACTCATATTAACATTCTGAATCTTAACAGTATTAATACATATTTTAGAGATGCAAATGCAAATTTTACAAAAAGTGTAAAATCTGCCATCAAGAAAATGGTTAGGTTAGGTTATTTGAATATGGCAAAACACTCTAAAACTATCTGCCTAAGGGAACGGATGCTTTCCTTGGGGACTTTCTAAAAGAAACTGGTTACGTATACACGTTACACACAGGGAAAATCAATCATGCAAGCCCTCCCGTTCCGGAGATTAACTAGAAGTATTTAGCAGTCTTTTAACAGTTCACCCACAGGTTGGGCCCGTCAAGACGGTGACCTGAAAGCAAAAGTAACTTATTTTTTGGCTAAATTGTCTTGATTTTAGTATCTCTTATGTTTCTTACCATTTATACAACGTTTCTAGTTTATTTTTGATTAAGATAAAGTACATTAAGTGTGATAGTAAACAGATTTTTTGCACTTTCATCAATGTTACGAAAAATAAAGTTATAAAATTTAATAAGCGATTTTTCATAGAAATGACTGAATTATTTATGAAATCTAGAAGTCTGAAACGAAAAAAAAATATATGCAAATACAGCAAAATTTCACAAAAGAAATGTTTCCTCTTGAAAGATGTTCTACTGCAGCCTCAGATTAGGGTGTATGGCATTCGTTCCTTCTGCATTTGTCACCACAGATTGTCAAATGTAATGCATATTTGAGGTTTGAAGCATTCTGACGTCAACAGAAATTACACATCCCATCATAAACATGCACATTATTATACACATATATCACTCCAAGGTATGGCAATGTGGTGGCAAAAGACGGGGCTGCTAGAAAAGTTGATATACGTATGTCACCGTTGTCCGTAACGATAGCTCTAGATGCATAGGTTATGAATGTTACATATGTCACATATAGTAAAATTTACGTCCAATTCAAAAGAGATAGTTAAGAAAATATGTGAGGAATTTAAAATTGAAGCAGCTGTTTCTATGACCCACTTTTTTAAATGCTAGCAGTAAATTGCAAGTCCATTTCTATGCGCCTTATGGAATTTGATGAATGCATGCTGGTTGTCTCAAGCGCTGTGATAATTTGCCACATTTTGCTCTCTGTTGTTTTGTATGTTCAGATATTTACTGCTAAGGAATTTCGTTGCTGAGACAGGGTACATTTTATTGCTGAGACAGGGGTTAAGTCTTGTACAAACATTTGCTGGTGTAGGTTGAAACCATTATTGAGTATTTCTATATCATCCCCGTCACTAATATTTGTACCACAACATAAGGATTACAAGTCATTTAGCTTTAATTGTACAATATACTTCTTTCTCTGTGACGCTACATAAAACAGGTTCAGGCTTTCTAATACATTGGTCAAGCAATAGTCATTGTTGTAAGACACACACATGTCACTCGCCAGGAATGCGTCTTATGACGCAACGACCTTCTAACACTCAGATACATTATTAGAGTTATACCTCAGCTAGACAGTCCGTGTCGACATTTCCGAGACAGCCAGTCCATGGTTGCAAATAGTACACTGTCGCCCCTTCAGTTTATATGCTCTGTTCTGAGGACTTTGGGAAACGGTCCACTTTGCATCTGATTTTTTTCCCTTTGTTTTCATTCCTCTTTTTTTTTTTTTTTTTTTTTTTTTTTTTTTGTTTATCTGCTTGATAACCTCTGAAAGTTTCGTTACGATAGTTGTCGATTGGAAGTGAGGCAGCATTCATCACTAGAGCATAACTGCTTAATTTCAAACATACTAAACATTTCTAAAAATGTTTTCAAACCAACATTTTCGGTAAAATTGGTACTTTTAAGTTTTATGAAATCTGGAATTAAAATCTTAAGTTCCTATGTTATGATATTTTATTAACAGTTTGAATTTTGAATTAAACTTCTTTCCTAGCAAATCTTTAACTTCAACTTACGACTTCCGGTCACAACGTAGTTTTAGAATCACTCTGAATACATAATGAGAAAGAGCGGTATTTAACCGCGAAGTTGTACTTGCTGATTTTGAGAGAGATACCAGATTTCTTAATAGCACGCATCCGCCTTTTTATGCTACTCTCTCTTAAGCTATTATTTCGCCCGGACGTACTTAAGGCCCTTAATAGCTTCGCAGAATATTAAACGTTAAGGGGCCAACTCTGTTAGAATCTTGATAGCTTCGGCTATATCTCTTTATTTTAGATTAGTTTGAGAAATTCTTAGTCTCTTAAGTTCAAGCTCAAGTGGCGGCTTTACTGTATTTTTCCAAGACGGAGTTTGTTAAATCTTAGTTGAAATAATAAAGGGATAGTTAACCCTTCCTGTTTGTTGTTTCCTGTACACGAACTCAAACGATTATTCGCTAACTAGTTCTTAGGATTCTTCACGTCAACGGTAACATAGCAGTTACAAAGTGAACGTTTGAAACCCTAGAACATTTTGAAGTCATTTAATTTCAACTGCTGCAAATTTACTTTCTACAAACTTTAATTTCAACATTTAATTCAAAATGAATAGTCAATTTTCAAATTGTTAAATTAGTGAGTTCCTAAGATAAACAAAATGTTAATCACAAAACTACATTCATATTTATGAAAATTGCGGTAGCACGAAGAAATCATTAAATCAAGTTGAAATTTATGCCGCATTATGCCTACGAGTAATACATAAATAAAAATGATTTAAGCTTTAGACCAATACAATTATTCTATTGGCTCAAAATCAGCATTTTGGGAAGCTGTCACCAGCGGAAATAACAGTTTTATATATCATAGCTTTGTGTAAAAGATGGCTTTAGTGTTTTTCTAAGAGATTGCTTGTCAGACTGGTTTCATCTGAATTTACAGTTCGTTGGTACTGATTGAAAGAAGAAAATAAAGAACCGTTTAACAATAGCATAATCTGAACCTAAGAAATGGACACAAACTTGACGTCTTTGCTTGGGGGCTTTTTAACGGAATAATGTTTTCTTGAAATTTCGATTAATGTTATTATCGAGGCTATTTATTTGTTTTATGTAATCCATATTCAATTTTATCTCAA